TTTCCCAGCACCATTTATGGAATGGGCCTTCATTGCCCTATTGCATGTTCTTGCTTTCTTCATCATAGGTTGATTGACCATGTGTGTGGGTTTATTTCTTGGCTCTCTACTTGGTTCCGTGGGTCTATGTGTCTGTTTTTTATGCCGTTTTGATTACTGTAGCCTTATAGGATGATTTGGTAACAAGTAGTGCGATACTGCCCACTTTGATCTTCTTCAAGATTGCTGTCACTATTCAGGATCTTTTGTGTTTCCATACAAATTTTTGGGTTGTTTGTTCTACTTCTGTTAGAAATGCCTTTGGCATTTTGATAGGAGTTGCTTTGGATAGTATGAACATTTTAATGATTTTAATTCTTCCTATCCATGAGCATGGTATATGTTTCCATTTATTAGTATTTTCTTAATTTTCTTTCTTCAATGTCTTACAATGTGCTGAGTGAAGGTTTTTTACCTCCTTGGTTAAATTTATATCTAGATAGTTTCTTTTATTTTTAGTGCAATTGTTTTATGAGTTTCACTTTTGGTGAGATTGTCTTCTTAGTTTCACTTTCTGATAGTTTATTATTGGTGTATAAAAATGCAACCAGTTTCTGGATATTTATTTTGTATCTTGTTACTTTACTGAATTCATTTATCAGTTCTAGCAGTTTTTTCATGGAATCATTAGGGTTCTCTATATATACTGTCATGCTATTTACAAATAATGACCATATGACAGTTTTACCTCTTCCTTCTCAATTTGGATGCCTTTTATTTCTTTTTCTTGTCTGATTGCTGTGGCTACGACGTGTACTATGTTGGATAACAGCAGTGAAAGTGGACATCCTTGTCTTGTTCTTGATCTTAAGGGAAATGCTTTTAGCTTTTCCCCTTTGAGTATGATGTTGGATGTGGGTTGGTCATTTATGGCTTTTATTAATAGAGGCATGTGTCCTCTATTATGATAAAAACTCTCAGCAAATTGTACTGAATTTTATTAAATGTTTTTTTTTTCTGCATCTATTGATATGATCATGTGGTTTTTATCTTTCATTTTGGTTATGGTGTATCATGTTAATTGATTTGTGAATGTTGAACCATTCTTGTATCCTATGAATAAATCCCACTTGTTCACGGTGTGTGATCTTTTTATTTATTTTTAGAGAGGAGGGAAGGAGAAAGAGAGGATGAGAAACATCGACTGGTTGCCTTTCACACACCCCTACTAGAGACCAGGCCTGTAACCCAGGCATGTGCCCTGACTGAGAATTGAACCAGCAACCTCAGAAACCTATTAGTTTTATAATATTTTGTAGCTGATTTTAGCATCTATTTTCATCAGATATATAGGTTTATAATTTTCTTTGTAATGTCCTTATCTGGTTTTGGAATTTGGATAATGACTGCCTCACAAAATGAGCTTAGGAGTCTGCCCTCCTTTTGAATTTTTTGGAATAGTTTGAGAAGGATAGGTGTTAGTTCTTCTTTGAGTGTTTGATAAAATTCACCTGTAAAGCCATTTGGTCCCAGACTTTTGTTTGTTGAGAGCTTTTTAAAATTACTGCTTCAATTTCATTGGAGGTAATCAATCTGTTCAGATATTCTGATTCTTCTTGATTCAGTTTTGGGGGTTTGTCTGCTATAGAAACTTACTAATTTCTTTCAGATTGTCCAATTTATTGGCATATAATTGTTTGTAGTATTTCTTTATAATATGTTGTATTTCTGTGGGGTCAGTTGTTAAGTTTCCTCTTTCCTTTCTGATTTTATTTATTTGGATTCTCTCTTTTTCTTGATGAGTCTGGTTAAAGGCTTATCAATCTTGCTTATCTTTTCAGAAAAACATATTTTGGTTTTGTTGATCTTTTGTAATTGTTTTATTTTAAGATTCTATTTTATTTATTTCTGCTCTGATATTATTTTTTTCCTTCTACTCACTTTGGACTTAGTTTTTTGTTCTTTTTCTAGTTCCTTTAAGTGAAGTTTAAATTCTTAATTTGAGATTTTTCTTGTGTTTTTTTTTTTTGAGGTAGTCCTGAATTGCTATGAATTTCCCTTAGAATTGCCTTCACTATGTCCCATAAATCTTGGATTATTGTGTTCTCATTTTCATTCGTCTCAAGGCATCTTTTGATTTCTTCCTTGATCTCATTGTTAACCCATTCGTTGCTTAGTTATCATGTTATTTACCCTCCATGTGTTTGTGTGGTTTTCAGTTTTTTATAATTGACTTCTAGTTTCATATGTTGTGGTCAGAGAAGATGCTTGAAATGATTTCAATCTTCTTATGTTTACTGAGGCTTGTTTTATGGACTAACGTGTGCTCTATCCTGGAAAATGTTTTATGTACACTTTTAAAAAATTGTATACTCTGCAGTTTTAGGGTGTAATGCTCTGAAAACATCAATTAAATCTATCTGGTCTAATGTGTCACATAAGACTGCTTTTTTCTTGTTGACTTTTTGTCTGGAAGATCTACCCATTGATGTCAGTGGGTATTAACATTTCCTACTATGATTGTATTACTGTTGATCTCTCCCTTTATATCCATTAATATTTGCTTTATATATTTAGGTGCTCCTATGTTGGGTGCACAAATGTTTATAAGGGTTATTTTGTTTGCATGACTATGCATGAGGTGTTCTATTTCATATCCTCTGGTTCCATTTTATATTGAAATCCCTTCACACTGTCTTTGCCCCCAGAGAAGTGGGGACAGTACCCCTTCCCCAAGAGAACCTGATTTTATGGGTAGGGTTGGGGGGCGCAAAATAGGATTCAGAAATGGGAAAGGATGAAGCAGCTTCTTCCTCAAGAAAATCAAGAAGCCCTCTTATGAGGGCAGGGGCTCCCACCTCAGTGCTGAGGGTGAGGTGGGTGTGGTGGGTGTGGTGGGTGTGGTGGGTGTGGTGGGTGTGGTGGTGGGGGATTGGAAGGCTGAAGCTCTGGAGGAGGCACCAAGCAGGCTGCTCCTCTGGAGGACACATGAATTGCATGTCAGGGACCTTAGGGAGGGGCCTGAGAATGATGACAGACACTACATTCTGGGCCCCAGAGGAAGTTCCAAGCTGTCAGAAGAGAACAAATTGGTAAATTGGACTTCATTAAAATTAAGACCATCTGCTCTGTAAAAGGCACTGTTAAGAGAATGAAAAGACAAACCACAGCCTGGGAGAAATATTTGTAAAACAGTTATCTCATAAAGGGCTGGTAACCAAAATACACAAAGTAAACTTAAAGTTTAACATTAAAAAAACAAACAACCCAATGTAAAAATGGGCAAAAGATTTGAACAGACACGTCACCAAAGAAGATATACACATGGGAAATCAACACATGATAAGATGCTCAACATCACGGTCACTGGCAAATTGAAATTAAACAACAATGAGATATCACTACACACCCATTAGAATGGATAAAACCCAAAACACTGACAACACATTTTGGTAAACACCAAAAAGCCCAATGCTGATGAAGGTGTGAGGCCACAGGAACTCCCCTGCATTTGGTGAGAATGAGAAAGCACACAGCCACTTTGGAAGGCAGTATAGCATTTAGAAAAAAACTCATATAATACCATTGAGTAATTGTGCTTTTTGGTATTTACCAAAATATGTTGGAAACACATGTCCACATTAAAAATAGCACATGAATGTTTATAGCAATTTTATTCATAGTTGCCAAAAATTAGCATTCACCAGGATATCTTTCAGGAGGTGAACGAATGAGCAAACTGAGCTGCATCGGCACAATGCATATTATTCAGCAACAGAAAGAAATGCCCTACGAAGCCATGGAAAGACACGGAGGAGCCCTAAATGCAAATTTCCACGTGCAAGAAGTCAATTGCAAAAGACTCCATACTGGATGGTTCCAACTGTATTTCTGGAAAATGTATAACAATGGAGGCAGTAAAAAGATTAGTTTCCAGTCTAATTAAGAAAATAATGGTTTTCCCCCAGGAGTCTGACAGTGAGGTGGGTGTGTGTGTGTGTGTTCTAAAAAGTAAACTCTAGACTTTATTGGAGCTTCACCAGTTTCCCCATTAATATTCTCTTTCTGGGTGACAGCCAATCCCGGGTACCGCATTGCATTTAGTTTTCAGGTTTCCTCATTCACCTTCGGTCTTTCCTCATTTTTCACAAGGCTGACTGTCTAGCAGACGACAGGTTGGATTATCCTGTCGAATGTCCCACAGTCTGGGCTACCTGATGTTTCCTTCATGATTAGACCAGGGTTATGGGGTTTTAGAAAAGCATCAGAGGTGAAGTGATCTCATGTAATTTTGCTTTCATCCAGTGCAAGACTTGCTGAGTTTATTGAACCTACGAGTTCACATGGTTCTTCAATTTTGGCCTGTTGAATGTCAAGAGTAAATACTGTGCCCAGGCCCAGGCCCTAGGAGGTGCCACATGCCTTTGCTTACCTGCCTTGTGCTAACTGCTGGCCCCAGATGCCTGAGAGACCCACAGAGCAGGCCTGAACCCAGCCTGCTGCTCCGAGCCAAGCCACTCTTATCCCAACCTACATCAAGGGATCCCTAGATGTCATACAGATGCAGGAGCAAGAATAAATAATCCCAGTCTACACCACAGAGCATGAGGCCTGCTTTACTGTTTGCAGTAGCTAGCTGCTGCAGAGCTGGGGCAGCCAGGTTCCTTCTTCCTCCCTCCCCAGCAGCTAGCTGTGTTCAGAGCCTGGTGCTCATGCGCTTCTCCCAAGGCACAGGGGTCCCTGTCACCCCTTGGCCTCCTCTCCTCTCCCTCCCTGTGATCCAGATCTAAAAACTGCCCAGATCCAGAGGGCCTGCTTTGAGCTCACCTCCCTCCCTCTGGAACAGTGCCATGGAAAATTCAAGCACAAATATATTTTCTACAGAGAGGAAAATTACAAAAAGATTAAAAAAGAAAAACAATCCCCCAAGAATCTCATTTCTGCTATATGTGAAATGATTTATATGAACTGCTCAACTAGCAGTTAATTGTCATGTAGCAAAATAACTCTAGGTCATTAAATACAAGATTAATAAGTTTTATTTAACAATAATATTACATTTCATTTATTATTCTTAGGTGACCAGTGGTTACAAAGTAAAATTATCTATTGGCACAACAAAAAGTATTGAAGGTATATGGCCGGTCAGTCCCTGGAGCCCGGCCAGGGCAGGGCAGACATGGCGATACCAAGTAGGAGGCGGCTCTGTTCACTCCCCTCACGGTGTGAATCCTCAGGACTGGGGTTCCATGGGCTCCTACAGGCCCAGAGCCTTTGGAGCAGAATGGAGTGGGAGGAGAGGAAGGAGGGGCTCTGTGTGGGATACGGTGGTCAGCTTCCGCAGTTCCCTTCCCCACCTCTACCAGTTCAAATCCTGGCCCCAAGCCTGCCCTCCACCCTATCACCCCAGCCCATCTTCACTTTGGACTCCTCCCACCTGGCAGTTTTCCACTGCTGCTCTCTTCTCATGTTCTATCCCTCAACCCCCCCAGTCAGGCCAAAGCTCTGCAATGCCAGCCATGCCACTCTCTACTCCCCTGGGATCTTGCCCATGCACCAGAAAGGTGCCAGTGAACTTGGGGCTACAAGATTCTGCACACCATGTGCAGCAGCCCAAGGAGGGAGATGGAAGTGGGGGCATGGGGGCCAACCTGGGAGAGGAGGTAAAGGCCAGGGTGCCTAAGCAACCCTCCCATCACCCTGACACAGGCAGTTCCTCCTGCAGAGGGAAAAGCTAATTGCTCCTCAGTGCTCAGTCTTGGTGAACTGGAAAAGAGTGAATGGAGAGCTTCCCAGAGGCCCTGAGAGCCCCCTAGGACCAGAAGGGGCACCAGCGTTTTGAAAGCGAGGCTGCTGGCCTTTCCTGAGCACCTGCTCCAAGTCAGCCATAGGGCCAGGCACTGTGCCCTTCCTCTGCAGCCCTTTGAAGAGGCCTGAGTCCCCCTCATCTTAGTGCTAAGGAAAGGGAGGTTTGAAGAAAGTAATTAACTTCCTTCTGGTCATTTAGCTAGAAGGTGACTGAGCTGCAACTGAATCTAACCTGTCCTATCTCCCCAGGACCTCAGATCCAGAAAGGGGCTCCAGAGAGAACCTGACCAGGTCCTGACAATGGACAAGTAAAGTGTTAGTGCTGATTTTCAGGAACGGGGGACCCAGGGAGAGAGGTGGGAGGTACTGAAGGCCAGGAATGAAAAGTCTCATCCATGTATCCAAAGCAGAGGAGACTTAACTCCAGACACAAAGGGCTTCCAAGTCTTTGACAATGGAAGGAGCAGGCCCAGCCACAGGTTAGGAGGAGAGGCCTACACCACACCCCAGAGCACCGGAGCCTCCAATCTCCCTCCCTGCAAGGACACTTGACTATGTCAGTGGCCGGGGCCTCCAGAGGTCAGCTCTCCTTTCTACCTCAAGGAACCTGAGAGACGGTGTGGCCAAACTCCTCTCTCCCCAAAGCCTGTTTCTGCCCCAAAGAGAGGTCTGAGGCCCCAGAAACTGCCGAGGCCCTGCTGCCTGCCCAGTGCAGAGCCCACAGCAGGACTCTGGCCCCCATGGGCCATTTGGTTCTCCACGAGGAGCGAGGCCCTCATGGCCCACCGACTGGGAGAGGCTCAGAAGAGGCTGCTTCCAGGCTTTCCATCCAGGCCGGCGCAGGGTCTCACTAGGGCAGAGCTCCGCTGAAAGTCATGATGGGCAGGCAGAGGAGGGAGCAGAGGTCCGACGTGGCCTGGGCGGCGGGGTAGGGGGACCTCTGGGGTTGCGGGCAGAGGCTGCTCTTCTCTGGCTTGTAGCAAGGTGAAACCTCACACCTGGGAGGCAGGGCAGGAGTAAGAACAGGTCTCCCGTCCCTCCAGCAACTTTCAGGCCTCTGGGTGGGAATATACAGAAACTGACCCCTGCCCCAAACCCCACTTAACTGAAGCAGATCGAGGGCCCCTTTCCTACCTGACTACACTCTGCAGGATCTTCTTCTCATCCTGGTCCAGACACACTGCAAAGGGGCAGCCGTTGGAGCCAATAATCTGTACCTTGTCCACTTTGACCTGTGACGTGCTAATCTGGAAGGAAGGCCCAGGTCAGTCCCCAGAGCCCTGGCCACAGACATCCTGGCCCCTGGCAGCTCCTTCCCTTGGAACTGCCCAAGCTGCTGTGGCGGAGGAGGGGGGTTTGTCGGGCAGCTCTCCACTGCTAAGGGCCAGCTCAGGCCGGGGGTGTGGAGGGACTGGTTCTGAGGATGCCATCAGGCCCTGGGTCCTCTCCATCCTCTGCCCTCCCCTGAGTCTGGAAGAAGCAAGTGCCCCTGAGGAGAAACTACACTGCTCCCTGCCCTCCCTGGGGCAGCCCTGGGGCCCCTGTCTCCACCGCTCTGCCTCAGACTCAGGGCAGAACTTGACCACACACACATTTTCTCCCAAAGGCACCCCTTCCTCCTAACCCCCCACAGCACTCCACATGTGTGCACACCCCTAAACCACACCCTCTCCCTGCTTCTCCTTCTTCCCCAGCCCCCCATACCTTGCAGACACCCCTCCTCTCCCACATACACACCCAGGCATGCGCACGTGCGTGTGCACACACAGGTCCAGTGAGTCTCCTGAGGGTGTGGCTTCACGGACACTGAAGCCCTTACCTGGTTGAAGCCCTTCTTGGACTTGGGATTTTGTCTTTTCACCACTTCTGTCAGGTTTAGCATCAGGGCCTCCGTGCCGGCATCTGAGGGGCAGGGCGGCTCAGGCCAGGCTCAGATGCCCTCTCTGCCGCTTCCCCTGCGCCCTCCCTGCCCACCCAATTCACCTAGCTCCTCCAGCTTCCGGCAGGCCTTGTTGAGGTTGATGGAGGTGCAGACCTTCTCCATGTTATTCCAGCGACTTCGTCCACTGACGCCCCCCTGGAGAGGCAGCAAAGCCAGATCCTCTCTCAGCTTGGAAGCCCCGCTGCTTGCCACCTTCCCTTCAAAGAGGGGGTTCCAGATCACCAGCGACAGGGAGCTACCTGCCACCAGTACAGCCAGGAAGCTCCTCTCTCTCATTCACCCAGGCCTGCCAGCTTCTTCACGAAGAGCCCCTGACCCCTGTACAGACCTCAGTGACTCTGAGGTCATAGGACACGAGAGCTGAGGGCACCTCAAGGGGGTCTTAACGATGTGCCGAGCCCAGAGCAAGGAGGAGAGGACCCCACAGTCCCGGAGTCCCTGGCAGAGCCAGCCTAGAGGCCCTCTTTCTTTGGGGACCCCCATGTTGCCAAACCTAAGAGCATTTCTCAGTCCTTGGTCAGTGTCAAGTTGAGTGTACTTGACCTTACAGGAGAATTTGGTTCTGTTCCCCCCTTTCCTTTCCTGGGCTTCTGTGGGGGCACACTCCTGGTTCTCCACACATTTTTGGCTGGGGCCTCTGCTTAGCACGATACCCTCCTCTGCCTGGGTCACATGACACCGGTCTCAGGACCCTTTCCTGGGTCCTCTGCTCCTGCACTCCTACTTCTCCAGCAGGGAACCCCAGCTGCCTACACACCCATCTCCGTGTTCCACGTCTGAGTTCAGGCCCATCTGTCTGACTGCCTGTGCTGACTTCTTCCTTCTATCTCTCCAGGGCACTTCAAACTCACCGTGGCCCACCTGCCTGATCTGCCCCTACCAGATGCCGGCCGCTTCTGAGAAAATGGGGCGGTTAGTCACAGAAGACTGAAATCCAGCCCATTCCTAAGCCCTGCCGCTCCCACAATCCACACACAGCTCCCATCTCCTCCATCGCCGCCACCCACCCTGTGCTGGCTGCCCACCTCGCTCTCCTGGAAAACGCCAGAGCCTCCTATTGGCCTTGCCAGGCCCCCCGGCCCCTCCAGTCTGCTCCCCAAGAGCTGCCAGAGGGCGCGTCTGAACCTCACGTCTGACCCTGTCACACACAGTGCCAGCACCGCTGCACACTGGAGCCCCTCAAAAGGTGCCCACTGCTCTTAGGATAGGACCAAACTCTCATTAGAATCAAGGCCCTTGGCATTCTGGCCCCACCTATCCCTTTAGCCTCACCTTTTTTTTTTTTAAGATTGTATTTATTTATTTTTAGATTGAGGGAAGGGGGAAAGGAGGGAGAAAGAGAGGGAGAGAAAGATCAAGGTGAGAGACAAACATCGATCAGCTGCCACCAACATGTGTCCACAGCAGGGACCAAACCTACAACGCAGGCATGTGCCCTGACTGGGAATCGAACCAGCAACCTTTTGTTTTGTGGGATGACACTCAACCAACTGAGTCACACCAGTCAGGGCTCACTTCATCACCTTTAGTGTTCCTGTTCTCCTTCACTTGGAGCCTTTGAACATGCTCTTCCCTCTATCTGGAGAACACGCCCCTCTCTTTTAGCTTAACTGACTCCAGTTTTCTTTCCAACATCAGCCCAAAGCCCCTTCCCCAGGAAGCCTTGTCTAACTTTCCTGACTGGGTTGAATAATCCCCTTGGCGGTACTCACAGTACCACGTACCTCACCTCCACCCGGTGGCCAGAGCTGTATTCATACATCTGTGGGTTCGTCTAACCAATGCCCACTGTCCCCTCTAGGTTGTAAGCATTCTGTTTACCCTGAAGAACATGCCTGAGCCTAGAACACAGCAGGTGTTTAAAGAACACCCGGCACAGACTCTCAGGGTGCGTCCCTCCTGCCCATCCCCGTGGCCGCCAAATGGAAAGCGTTTCCATCACCACCACCCCATCAGCCCTTCTGTGGCCTCGTCATCACTCACCACCCTGACAGTATCATGGCCATGTGCCTGTCTCCTGGTTTCTTGTCTGCCTCTCTCCTCTAAAAAGCTCAAGGGAGGGCCCAGCCCTTCCTGCTTACTGCGCTTCCCCCACCCAGCATGGAGCCTGGCAGGAGGAGATGCTAAGTGAATATCATTTGGATGGTTGGAGGGGGGAAGAAAACAAAAAGGCAGGAGGGCTCCCCACGGGTGAGTCCAGCCTCTCGGGGGCTGTACCCGATGATGTGACCCACTCAGAGACACATATCTTCTGGCAAGCTCTTGGGCACCCCCTTCTCCAAAATCTCTTTACTCCCTTCGCACCAATCCCACCTCCCAGGCCTGCAGCCAGGCCCCCCAGCCCAGGCCTGTGCCTCGCTATGCCTCGCTGTGCCTCGGCGGCCCCACCTGCTCCGCTCTCAGCCCTAGCCCTGCAGTCAGGCCCTGGTTGCCTGATTCGACAGCCTCAAGCAGCTTAAACACCGGGGCCCAGGGACCTCAGAGTCTGGCTCTTGGGTGAGGAGGTTCAGGAGACCCAGGGGTCAGGGTCAGCTGGAGGGGGTGGGAGGGTCCCAGAGGGGCATGGGGCCCAGCATCGGCCTTACCTTGCTGTAAATAATCTGTAGTGTTAAAGGGACGGCCTCCCGGTCCCCATCAATGCCCAGCCTCTTGCTGCCAGGACCTGTGCCATGCAGACAGGCCCTTTACTGGGTGCCACTTACAGGCCCGGGGCTCCACCTCCCCTCCCCCAGCCCCACTCCCACCTGTGACCCTGCCTTTCCAGGGTCATACTTCCCCAGGACTCCAGCCCTTTATGAAGCCACCCCTCTCCCCAGGGGCTACCACTGGGAGCCCCACCTTTCTAGCCCCCCACCTGTCTCCACCGGGATTTTGGCAGCGCTCACCCGAAGCCTTGATGGCTCGTGTGGCAGCAGAGTGACCCAGCTCCAGGGAATGAATGAAGATCTCTGTTGTCTTCTCCCCAGTGATGAAGGTCAGCTGGAGAGGGCAAGACCAGAGCATCAGTGCAGACCTCCTGTGGGGACCCCCACCCCGGCTTCTACAGCACAGGCTGGGGCTGCCACGGGGTGGGGACAGGACCTACAGGCCCACAGGCACAGGTGGGGCCAGGAGGCCTGCTGGGGAGCCCAAGGGAAAAGGAGGCCTGGGGCGGCCGGGCAGCTTACCTCCGTCTGGTAGACCTGCAGCAGCACCGGCCGTGCAGCAAAGCGGCAATAATACAGCAGCATGTCGGCTAGGATGGGCAGCTGGGTGGGGGAGCCCTCCAGGGGCCGGGAGTCAGCTTTCAGGGACTGCTGTGTGGGGGGAGCCCAAGGCAGAGGGACAGGGGACACGGGGGTGGGGGGGAGAGAACGGGAACATGAGAAGGAAAGACACAGAGGAACACACACACACACACACACACACACACACACGCAGAGAAGAACACAGAGGCAGTGAGCCAGGGTGGGGGGCAGGGAGAGGAAAGCGAGAGACAAAAAGGTCAGGGAGGACCCACAGCCCAGTCTCCGTCCCTCCCCCTAACCCAGCACGTGGGCCTCTAGGAAGGCCCAGCATAGAGCCGGACAAAGCTGACCTGAGGACGGGGGCTAAAGCCTAAGGTCCCCTGGATCCTTCTGAGGACCCTCCCTGTCACGGTGGTGACTCCAGCCCTTGGCTCCCTCCGCACCCCCATGCCCTGGGTTCTGGTTCAGTTCTGCTTCTCACCTATTCTCCCTGCTCATCTCCAAGTGCACCCTGGCCCTCCATGGAGCCCTCAAGCTGGATGTCCCAAACCAGAGCCTTCTAAGCAAGGCTGATGGACTACAGCCAGTGGGCCTTCTCTGCCCACCCCAGGGGCCACTCACCTGGCACAGCACTTCAGGGGGCAGGTGCATGAGGCCCAGCACATTGCGCTCATACCAGGGGTCAAGCATGCCGAGGTAGTGAGAGATATCGTTGGTGCTCTCCTCCCAGTGGGCGATGCCCAGCTCCTGAAACAGGGGGCGAGAGTCATCCTCAGGTTCCCAGGTAGCCAGGAGGCCTGCCATTGCGGCCCCAGGGCCCTGGGCAGCCCTGCAGCCCCAATCTGAGCTTCTTCCTGCCCTTGGACCAATCTGACACCTTTCCGTCTGTGTCATACAGCCAAAGACCATCCCCAAGTGCAGGGGAGGGACCACTCCTGGGAACCAGGGCCAGGCAGGAGGAGGTGCCCCACGAATTCAAGAAATTGCTTTTGGTGACTCCCAACCAGCCCTTTCAGGTCACTGGAACCTGTTCCTGTCTACTCTACTTTCCCACCCCGTTTGATCTCGGACTGGGGACATACTGTCGGGATGGGGTGCCTCGGGGAGTCTGGAGGGAGTGGGGGTGTCTGGCTCAGAGCAGCTGGGCAGGCACTGGAGCTGACCCCCTGGCTTCGCTTCACGGGCACGTAGAAGAACTGAAGCTTGAAGAACCGTGTGAGGAGTGGGCGATTGTTCTCCAGCCGCCTGGAAACAAGAAGATGCTGAGAAGGAGCTCCTTGGTCTCTGCTGGCCAAGCAAGCCTCGAGCCTCCGACACCACCGCCACCGCCACCCTGTCCCAAGGCAGAGTGATGCAGCCCTATTCCAGTTCTTACCGCAGGTTGCTATATGCTCGAGCTACCTTCCCCGAAATCCGATCGGAGCCGAAGACCACAACACGTAGTGTGGAAGCCTTGGGGTCCTCATCCCCACTCAGGAAGGGACGGCGGCGCTGATGCCGCGAGGCGGGGGCCAGGAGCCAGCTGGGCAGCTGGGTGCTGAGCTTGGGCTGGGGCAGGGAGCGGGAGCGCTGAGCCCGGGTCGGGGGTGGCCCCGGGCTGCCCAGGGGGCTGCAGAGGCTCCCAGCCCGCCGCAGGGGCAGCGCAGAGTCTGAGCTGCCCTCCATGCCCCGAGAGTCCCTTCGTAACATCAGCTGGCTGGTGCTCTTGAAGAGTTTGTAGATCCTGTTGAACTTCTGCCCGGGCCTGCGGTAGCCCCGGCGTTCCCGACCGCCGGGCCTCTTGTACCACTCTGGGGAGCTCTCTTCGCTGTCCTCCACGTAGCCACTGTCCATGCCATCCGAGAGGCCCGAGACAAAGGAGGTCAGCAGCTGGCGGGGCAGAGTGGCCCCCGAGGCCTGGTACGAGGCAAGGGACAGGGTGGAGTCACGGGAGGTCTCCGAGCTGGTGGAAAGCAGTGAGTCCCTCTTGGCACACTGCCCATCCGTTTCCAAGTCCTCTTCCTCCTCTTCCTCCTCCTCCTCCTCCTCCTCCTCGTCGTCCCCCAGGATCCCTGGCTGGAGCAGCTCCTGCTCCTTGAGTAGGATTTCCTGCAGGATGTCTGCACGGAAGCAAGAGGAGGTGCCATCTGGGCATCTGGACCCTCAGAACCTCTCTTGCTCACCTCTGGGAGGGGTGACAGGTTCAGACAGGGTGGACCTGGGGAGAAGGTGGTGGAACCCAGAGCACCTCCTCTGCTCCACTGAGTGCCGGCTCAGGCGGGAGGGCTGGTGAGGCGTAAGGCTGCTGCACGGCGGGACAGGCACCGGGACCGGGAAGAGGGCCCCGGTAGTTTGGGGGTGGGCATTTCAGGGGCCCTGGCCAGCTGCTTACCAAAGCTGTCCTGGTTCCAGTTGTAGGTGTAGCACCTGGCAACAGGAATGGGAATGGTGCAGAGCTTGCTGGGTTTCGCAGTGTCTGTAAGAACGGGGTGGGCAGAGGGTGAGGCCTGGGAGGGGGCCTTGAGATTGGCCAGCCCAGTCCCCTCATCTGAGAGAAGAGACCAGGGTTGGGAGACGACCGGCCTAGGCCACCAGGCTGGGTGGGCCGAGGCTGAGCAGGAAGCTGGGGAGCCTGGCTCGTGGCCAGAGGACCCCATGTGGATGCCGTGCCCTTTTATAAGCTGTGTAAGTATGTGAACCCTCATTTTACAGGGTTCAAACAGGAGAACAATGGCATTATCTCTCCAGGTGTTGTGAGGAGTATTGTGCCCTCTCTTCCCTGGTAGCAGAGTTGCAGAGAGGAAGTTTCCCAAGTGCCTTGGAGTGAGAGGTGTGGCCACGTGCCTGAAGTGGGCCAAGGGGATACCTGTAGCCCTGACACGTGCAACTTCCCTATTATCTTCAATGTAAAAGGAAAGCCCCTTGCCCTGGATCAGCACATCCCTTTTCTCTCCCTACAAGCCACCACATGATGGCAACCCAGCCCTAACCCTGCAGGCAGGAACAACACACCAGGGGTGGGTGGAGCAACATGCGTCCCTGAGTGACTGTGTGGAGCAGAGCCGCCAGGCTGACCTGGCCCGCCCACTGTGGCAGCCAGAGCAGATGACAGGAAAGTGGGCCCCACTATTCCAAGAGCCTCACCTAAGACATCAGGGAAGCCGGCTTTCTCTGCCACTGCCCGCAGCTTGGTCCCGAGCCACTGCCGGGCCTCGGCTGTATCCCCAATGCCAGATGCCAGCTCCTGTGTCTCTGCAGTCTCTGTGAAGATGTCCTCGAGCTCGGCCAGGGTCTTGGACTGAAATCCCAGGAGGAGAAAGGCTTGCTCCCATACCACGGCCTGGTTGCCTGACTTCTCCACTGTCCAGGGTCCCAGCGAGGGCAGCAGTGGCCAGTACCCTCTCCAGCCTCGTCACCCATCTGCATCCAGAGACCAGGGAGCCAGGCCTGCCTCCAACCCCTATCTCAGGAAGTGGTCACGAGAGAGAGCCCAGAGCCAGAGCAATGCAGACTTGGGAGGGACTTCAGAGCTCACCCCAGAAGCCCAGAGAGGGGACGGGACTGTCCAGGGCCACACAACTGACCTGTCACAGCACTTGGACTAGAACCCAGGTCCACCAGCTGTCATCTAAACCTTGCTCCTCCGAAGCTCTGTGCACCCCCCACCCCGGGTCAGGACGCAGCACAAAGCCAAACCCTGTCAACAAAGCCAGCTCTCCAGCCCCTGCCCACCCTGCCCCTGGGAGCAAGGGAGGCCAGCACCCTGGAGACCGCAGTGCTGAGATGGAGCAGAGAGAGGACTCTGCCTCTCGGAGACGTGTTCTGTTACAAGGGGGCTGTGCTCAGCCCCAGGCCCCAGACACATACCTGCAGCTTGCAGTGCAGACCGGGCAGGTCACAGTGGACCCCAAAGGCGGCCTGGAAGGCGTGCAGGAGCAGGGTGATGTAGGCGCTGTGAGGCGAATGGCTGGGCGCACTCAGCTTGTTGGCCACGGCGAGGAACTCTGCCTGCACCTCCACGGGGTTCAGCAACAGCACAGTGCTGGGAGCACAGAGGAGAGGCTGTGGGTGCAGGAGGGGCAGCCATCTACCTCACAGGACGTGCCGCCCTGAGGCCAGGCCTCCTGCAGCCCAGACAGGGCCCAAGGCCCGGAGAGGGGGTGGGGCTCTAGGGGCCCAGTTCCCACAGGAAAGTTTAGGGTCCACTTGAGTACTTTTCACCCAGCATTTTCAAAGACCTTTTAAAATCTGAACTTAATTTTAAAAAATAAATTTAGCTACATTTTTATATAAACATATTTTTCTACAGGATATCTGAATGGATACAAGATTACTCAAGAGAGGACTGTCTTTTAGGTGAGGTGACTTGAAGCCAGGCGATCACTTTGGGGAGTGGGCAGGGGGCAGACACGTGCCGTGCAGCAGTGTGGCCTGAAATTTCAGTCCACGCCCTGCGCCTCCGGCCAAGGGGTGTGATGAGGGGTGGCCTCTGCCAAGCAGAAGGGAGCCACGGCGGGGCTGCATCTGAGTCCTCCACTCCCAGGGGACCCATTTCTGCCTTGCCCAAGCCTTCATGCAGGCTAGCTCGGGGCTGGGGTGTGTCCAGCCAATGCTGCCTCTCCTCCCACTGCACGGGCTCCTCCCTGGTGCCTGTGGGAAACTGTGTTCATTATGAAAATCTCAAACACATACAAAGGTTAAGAGAATCGTGAACCCTGAGGGTGCCGATCGCCCAGTTAACGGTTAACAACACAGGACTGTTCTCACTTCGCCCACACCAACCCTCACCACTGTGTTTTCTCGAAGTATATTCGAGCCGTCATGGTGTTATTATGCCTGTAAAAGCTTTAGTGTGAACGGCTCACATTCACTATTGTTTTCGCTCAAACCTTCGTTGTGTGTAAACTCGGTGCAAAGAGGCACCAGGCAGGTGGCATGCCCTCTGGTCTCTGGGCATCTGTTCCTGCACCGGCCCCGGGCTCAGGACCAGGCTCTGTCAGTCACTGCCCTTTCGGGAGAAGCTAATTTTCATTTCTCTTTGTAAGAAAAAGGGGGCAGGCTCATGTAAGCCCCCCCTGAGCGCCCCCTTTCCTGAGGGTGTGGTGGCTTCTTGCACAGACACGCTAAGCCCCTCTGTGTGCAGGAGCAGAGCGGCCAGGCCTGCGCCCGCACCACCTGCTCGCTCTCTCTGCCAGACAAGTTACCATCATCCCCAGCTTACAGGAAACAGAAGGCAGACCATCTCAGCACAAAGACCTTCCACTAACCCCTCTGCACCTCAGCTTCCTGACCTTAAAAATACCTTTTCCATAAGGTTCACAGGAGGACTGGATGAAGCAGTGATGCCAACAGTGGTGCCCACAGCTCAGCAAGTCCGCAAAGACGTGGCGCATGTTCACCAGCCGCCTGCCTCCGCCCCTGCCCCGGTGTCTCATTTTACTTACTGAACTAAATTTCACTGAACAGTTTTATGCCCTTCTGCCTCTCTCAAAACCTAACACTGGCTTTTTTTGTTTGTTTTTACCTAGAAGGGACACAACACATGTTTTCTCAGCAGTGTGAGTGCACGGTGGCTCCCTGGGGCTGAGGATGGGGAGGGACTAGGGTGACTTTCATTTCCACTGAAGGAGGCTGGAGGCTCTGGGCTCCCGGGTGTCCAGGTGAGACACCAGAGACCTGCTGGAGGGTCCTCAGAATGCAGGCTTTTTCTGGTATTTGCCAAACTGCAGCCCAGGCCCTGCCAGCGGGTCACGGAATCAATGTGGGGAGTCACAACCAGAATTGCCTTTTAAATAAAACAGAACAGAATAGGACAGAGCCCGTCCTCTGAGGTCAGGGGAAGCTTCGCTTCATGAAGCCTGTCCAGCTGGGGTGTGTGTGTGTGTGTGTGTGTGTGCACGCACGTGTCAGCCTGTCATAGAACATGAAATTTTTATTGTAGATTCTGGTCAAAAAAGTCTGGGAAATGCTGTTTTAATGACATGCAGAAAGACACTGTGTAAAGAGTATGGGATTTTGAGTAAGATCGAGGTGCAAATCCTGGCTCAAACGCTTACTAGCTGTGTGGCCTTGGGGAAGTTACTTGGGCTCTCTGACCTCCATTTTCCTCATCGGAAAAGTGGGGTCAAGTGAGGTTCTGTGTGCCCAGCTCCTGCCACAATCAATTCATGTAGTTCTTAACATTTTTTTTTAATCTCAGACTTACTTAGGAATCTGATGAAAGACCTCAGCCCAGAAAAGTGACTCTTCTAAACATCCCTGGCAATTGCAGGGGGTTCCGGGTCTAAGCCCGTGTGTTTATGGCTTGGGTGGGAGGGGGTGCAGTGATAGAGGGGGTGCCAGAAGCACAGGCTGGATGGTGCAGAAATGGTGAAACCATGGCGGGTGGGTCCCATCCCTGCCCCACCCCCCACGCTGTGGCTCCCTCCCCACGAGCACTCACACAGTGGAGCTGCGCTGACTCCGAATGGGCAGACCCTGCTCAGCCCTCACCAGCCGCTGGTAGGAGATTCCTGTGGCCAAAAAGAAAAGAGCAGAGTTCACAGGTTTGCCTGTTTCTTCAGCTACCACAGCCCTGCACCTCACAGAGATCCTGGCACCGGGCAGTTAGGCTGGGGGCTCCTGGTGAGGTTCAGGACAAGGGGCAGATTAGGCCTGAGGCCCACAAGGCCTTGGATCCATGACAGGAGTCCAGGCCCCATGGTGGCTAAAGCCACTCACGGAGCTTCACCCTGTGGAGACTGTGGGCGGAGCACCCTGAGAGGGGGACCGAGGCGGGGGTCTCTGCTGTCCAGCCGCTCCTGTCACCAACCCCCTCCGCAGTGCTGGTGTCCTGCAGGGCGTGTCCAGGCACCCCTCAGACTAGTCAGTCAGCCTCAGCACCTTCCATGGCTCTCGCCTTCCCCTCACCATCCCAGTCTGGCTCCCACAGCTTTTCAGGGGACCAAGGTCCTGCCTGGTGTTGTCCCTTGAAGATTGAGCCTCCGCACCCGAATGCCCCCTGCCTTCCTCTCTGCCCTCAGCCACCTTTCCGTCCCTCTGACTTCAGATGTGCAGAGAGGAAATGAGCTCGAGGTTTTCCACGTGTCCCTGCAACTTGGCTCAGCTCTGCCGCTGGAAAACAAACCCTTCGCAGTGTGTATTCAGTTCTGCGTCGGCCTCGGTGAGGAGATGGAACATTCCGCCCTCCTCACTGACAAGGGTGACAGAAGCAGGCAGCCTCCCTGTCAGGGCTTGGAAGTCCTTACGGGGTCCGTCTCCCTGTCGGGGCAGCACCCTGGACAGGGTGTGAGCTAGGCACAGGGAGGCCATCCCTGCGGAAAGTGCAAGGCCACGCCTCGGGTTTCCAACAGCTGGAAACACCCGTGTGTGCTTGACTTTCCTTTATGGGGTTCAAACCTTTCATTCCCTGATCAGAGACAAAAAGTAGAAGATGCAAATGTTTATGATCAGGAATGTCCCAAGAGAAACTGAAGACTTCACAATTGGCCTGCTACCAGCCGACAGGCAAAACTGATGCATCCAGGTCCGCTCCTGGTTGACAGGAGGCCGAGGCAGGGAGGCACCGAGTGCAAGGAAAGGGGGAGGATTGCCTGAGGGGAGGAAGTGCCTGGGAGCCAGGGTGGCCCCGGGTCTTTACGTCACGCAGTCACCTGCCTGGGTCTTTTGGTAGAAACAGCATTATGCAATGTGAGAATGTGGTTTTTTGAGTCAAAGAATATGGTTTATAGACTTGAGCAGACAGGTTCAGGTGGTAGAGCTCTTGTTTGCTATGTGGCCCTGGGCAAGCTACTTAGTTGTCCAGCCTTCAGATGCACCATCTGAAAGATGGAAATACTAGAACTATCCAGGGGGGTGTTCTGAGGGTGGATGGGACCAACTCGTGGCAGTGTTTGATGTACTGTAAGCACACAGGTAATGCAGCCATTGCCATCACCACTGCTGTCATCGTCATCAATCATAGTCCTCCTTTTGACAAGAACTTACGTAACCTGTCCTGGACCGTCAACTACTAAGTGACGTAGGTCTTTGTCACACCAAGGCCCACGTTCCTTCTCTCACACTCAACATTATAGATTGGGTAAGAAACATTCAACTTCTCTGAGTCTTGGTTGTCTCATGTACAAAATGGGAATAACTTTGCTTTTCCTTCTCACTTCACAGGGCTGTGGTCTGGGCGAGATGCAGTCGTGGAGGCTGGTGTGCTGAGTGACTCACACACATGAGGCCCACCGTCACCCTCAGGCTTGCAGACGAATTATTTGCAGGCAATAACTGTGGTCTGCACAGCCATGCAGGCGTGCAGTAAATAGTCAACAAGCACTCGGGCTTCACCCCAGAGGGCTGTGGTGGGCAGGACCTGGCGGCACTGGCGTGAGGTTTCCTGCCACCCCCACAGTGGAGGCAGTAGGCACCCTGTTGGGGGTGGAGTCAGGAAGAAGGGGGAGGCCTGAGGCTTCATACCTGCCCACTTCCTCTGCTACCCAACCACATCAAAGTGGAGTAAACTGTTTAATTCGTCTCCACGGCAACTGGCTCCCTAAGGCTCCCTAGGGCTCCCTGGGTGGAAGGGCCAGCTCTTCAGGGCTCTTGTCATCTCCCTGTGACCTTGCCAGGACTTCTCTCACAAGCTAAAGTCACCCCAAACCCTACTGGCCAAGCAATATGAAATCAATGTAGGTCAGCCTTTGTCCTCACAAACTGCTCTGAGAGGGAGGTACTATCACCCTCCCATTGTACAGATCAGGAAACTGAGGCTCCCATGAGTAAAACATCTTGCCAATGGCCCCAGAGCCCCAGGGTTTGAAACCACAATGGTCTAACACCTAGTGCAGGTGCCCGCTGAGGGACGCAGCCTCAGCCTCTCCTGTGAGAGCTCCCTCCCAGCCTGCATTCTAGCCCCTGGTCCCAGCTCCCTCAGCGCCTGCCTCAGCTGGGCTCATTCGGGGTGGGGGCACTCAGCAATAAGGCAAAACTATAATCGACATGCCTCTACAAAATCACACCCCAGCACTTTCTGACAAGCCCACCTCAGGCTCATGTAGGTGAGGCTAATTTTGTTTAAATCACTATTTGCTGTGGATGAGGGCTCATGTTCTGTGAAGTCAGAGGTTAATTTGTGGATGTGGGATGAGTGACTTTTATTCCCCACAAAAGATAACCTCAAAGGTCACAGTTATATTACCCTATATGATATCAACTGACTTGCATCTAATTTTGCAATCTTATTCTAGCTTCTATGAGACACTGATTTCAGTTTCTCAGACCCTTCTCAACGCCAGCTCCCCTACCTCTCTGGTTCCTTCGGGGGTGAGCTGCACACACCTGCAACACAGGCTCTCTGTGCATTTGGATGAGAGTTAGGTGCCTTCATTGTTTGAAAACGACTCTCTGACACGAGGGAGGGTTAATGGTTTCTTGTCTCAGTTCTGCTTTCCTGGGAAGAGGAGAATTTCGTGGTGTGGGCAGCCTGCCCTGAGCGTCCCTCTCCAGACAGTTAAAGAGGAGACCCCCAAACCCGGAATTTATGTACAAAAAATTGTGTAGTTATTCTTACATGTTTAAACTTCAGTCACCTTCAAAGTACTCTCCATTTGATGCAATACACTCATCAAGACACTTTTTCCACCATTCAAAACAGTTTTTGACCTCCTTAAATTTGATGCTTTTTAGTGCTTCTGCCATTTTTTTCTTTCACCTCTTCCACATGGGCAAGACATTGCCTTTGAGGACTTTATTCATCCAGGAAACAAAAATGTCACTCGGGCCAAGATCAGGTGAATGGGGGTGGGGGCGCATGGGGGTCATGCCATTTTTGGTCAAGAACTCCTGAACACTCAGCACTGTGTGGGCAGGTGCACTCGTAAATTACCCATCATGAAATGGATAAACACATTGAAAGTCTTAAAAAACAAAATTCACTGAAGCCAAACACAGCCTCTCACAACACCACCAGCTGGTGCACTGGTCCAGATGGTTTCCTAGAATACTCACCTAGCTGGAGAAGTCTGTACTGCAAGGGGCCCGTCCTCCAGAAGATAATTCCAGGTTTTTTGGGTCCCCCCTCATATTTGCCTTCTTCTCTATCACCCATATACCTGAAGCCTCACATGGTCCCTGGGGCCATGTCCAGGGGAAGGCCCTCTGCAGTGAGGGACAAGAGTTCCAAGCATCCTCTCTGCTCCGAGTCCCACTCCAGTTGCTGCTCTGCCTGGCTTTTGTCTCCCGGGCTTAAAACCCCACGCCCCCAAGTCTGGGCCTCACCACAGCCCACCCCTCTGCTCCACACCTCTGCTTCACAGGGCTTTCCAGAACAGAGTTCCTGCTCAGCTGCCACAGAAACATCTCCAGGCAGAGCGTGCATGCAGCAGAGGAGAGCCAGCTGGTTCCACTTGAAACTGGGAAGCAGTCCCCCCACATGCAGGTGACAGCCATCCCCCAGCCTAGCGTATCTCCCTTATCCATTTCAAAGTAGGGAAGAGTAACTTAAATGTCTGGTGTAGACCAAAGGCCCTGCCTGGTGTTTGCATTTAAATCTCTTCTGTCTAAATTATAAACAGAAAGAAGACTGCATTCTTATTAAAGGAATTCTCATCAACCCGGAAGTGATCTAGATCCACTTGTTTTGGGGGGCAGTGGGGAGGATGGGGATGAAAGAGATTAACCTTAAGATCATTTGCTCACTTAGGGTGCCTTGAAAAGTTAGGTTGGCAGTTTCTCGATTCATCATGTGCACAAGCACCTTTCCTAGTTTGACACCTTCTCTTCAGGGACTTCCTGATTTCTTAATTTCCCCCACCCAAGTCTCTCCCATGTGGTGAGGTCCATGTAATCGGTAGGCGTGGGTCTGCTTGGCTCCTCGGTGGCACACACAGCTGACTGGTTGGGGGCAGGTGGATCAGACGGTTGGTTGGAGAAGGAGGGCATGAACCCGCACAGCCCTTTACAGACAGAGCTTCAGCCCTGAGCTTTCTGGGCTTCAGGAATTGCTGGGGAGTAAGACTTGCTACTTCTGCTCAGTGTGTGCTGAATGTGTACAAGGAGAATTAAACGCTGCCAGTACTAAACAGGCCCTGGTGTGCATATGGATTTAAAAGGAAAAAAATGGGATTACAACATGCATTGTATTTTGGGTCCTGCTTTTTTAAAAACTCAAGTTACTCAACATTTTTTGATATCAGTAATTGTACTTGTCATTTTTAATAATAGACTAGCATTCCACCAAACAATTTGCTGCAATATACTCAACCTAATTCAATATTTAGGTTTTTTGAAATTGGTTGATTATTAGAAAACGCATCAATGAACATTTTTGTAGGAAAATCTTTGCATACCCACAACTGCCCAAATTTCTAAGAATGGAATTGCTGGGTGAAAGGATATTCTTTTTAATGTTTTAGAGAATGTAGCCCCCTTTTCCTGACCAATACTAGTACTTGTTTTTGTATCTTTGCCAATTTGATGGGGGGTGGGAAATGATGTCTCACTGTTAAGTTTTGCATTTTCTGTATTACTAGTGAGGGCAAATGTTTTGAGGGTGTTCCTCAGCTGTTTATGACTCTCTTTTATGTACTTAAATCATGTTCTTTATTTATATTTTCATTGGCATATTGCCTATTTTATTTTTTATCCTCACCAGAAGACATTTTTTGCATTGTTTTCTTAGAGAGAATGGAAGGGAGGAAGAGAGAGACAGAAACATCAACTACTTGCCTTCTCATACATGCCCTGACCAGGGATCAAACCTGCAACTTGGGTATGTGCCCCGACTGGGAATTGAACCCTCAATCTTTTGGTCCACCAGACGACCTCAAACCAACTGAGCCACACTGGCCAGGGCTATTTTCTTAGTTTTAATCAACTCAAAAGAACTCTTCATGGGTTTGAATACTATTAATTTTTATTGAAAATATTTTTCTTAGTCATTTACCCTTCACTTAGAATGGGATTTGCCATATAAAAAGCTTTAAACTTTATGCTCTCTTATCTGTTGGCTTTTTCTTTTATAATTTTTGCCTTGCAGGGACACTCTGTCTCCATTCTAGGCTCATGTGCCCTATTTTTCTTCTGTTACTTTTATGGTCTTGTTTTCTACACTTACACCTTTAATCCTACTGTAAGTTATTTTATAAAACACAATTTTGTTTTTTTGGAAATAAAATTCTAACTCATTTTTATGGCCTCTCAATTATCCTGATACCATTTACTAAATGATCAATTTTTTTCATGACTCATTTGAGGATGCCATTTTGTTATATAATATTTTTTAAATATTTATTTCTAGAAATTACATTTTATTCCATTAATTTATATATTCTTTTACCAATAGTGGATTATTTTAATAACTATATATAGCCTTAGCATACTTTCAAAGACCTAGTAAGGAAACATCAATACGTATTCTTCTTTAAGAACACATAAATATATAATAAATGCATAGATAAATACTATCGTAGAGCACTGGTTCTTTCAGACAGACTTTATCTATTTTGTTAAATTTTAAAAGATGTTGTTGCTTTTTTGATCATGGTAACATTTATTTCCATAATACCTGATATTATTATAACATTGATTCAGTCTAGCAACATGTCTTAAATTATTTATCCTTCAGTTAAATTTGTTTTCTCTATGTAGGTTAGTCACATTTTTTGTTTGTTTCTAAAGATTTTATTTATTTATTTTTAGAGAGTGAAGGGAGGGAGATAGAGAGAGAGAGAGAAACATCAATGTGCGGTTGCTGGGGGTTATGGCCTGCAACCCAGGCATGTACCCTGGCTGGGAATCGAACCTGTGACACTTTGGTTTGCAGCCAGTCACATTTATTTTATTCATTTTGTATTTTTAGTTGTTACTGTAAATTGTTTTTTTCATATGTCTTACTGGTTAAGGCCCTTATTTGGCAAAGCTCTTGGCTACTTATTCACGAGTCTGACAGTTCTTTGTGTGATGCTCTTAGTCTCGATGAATAAGCAATGGTTTGATTTCTACATATTAAAATTTCATTTTCTCTGGAAGAGGAAATATTCTTTTTTTGCATAGGCAAAATACTTATAAGCATGAAGAGGAAGTTATTGACTTAAATGGAAATGTCTCTCATATTTCACTGTGGGCTGTTACCTTATTAAGAACTCTTCCATATATTAATAGTTTCCACACATCGGAAGGGTTTTAAATATCAGAAATGGATGTGGAATTTTATCAAATGTTTTAGAGGCACCTATTCAGTTATTTATTGACTTTAAGCTACTGAGGTAATGCATTACTCTCATATCAGGGTACTTCTTAGTAAATCATACTTGACTGTGTTTTCTCTTGCTCTGCGATAGTTTTCTTTGACCTCTTTTTCATATGTATTATAGTGCCTGCAGTTTCTCAAGAATTCCTACTCGGCAGAGCCCACACATGAAAACTGAGTGCCAGGCTCTTGTCCACACTTGTCAAGGCGCCGATCAACCACCAACCTGTCCACTCCCAACAGCAGCCACCCTCCATGGCCAGAACTGAATCTACCCACACACACATTCCCTTGTTTGCTCCTGAGGCAAAGAGAACAAATGAGGGCAGCCTCAGAGACCACTTGGGTGAGCAGAGCAGAGGCTCCAGCCACACGGTGGGCTCTCCTCACCCTGAACCCCTGCTCAGCTTCCTGTAAGAATTCCTCCTTCGCTGACTGCCTGTGGCCCCTGCGTCCAGCCATCCGGCGCTGGTGCACATAGGGTACACGCAGCACTGCGAAGAGGGGGCGCCAGCACTTTGACACATGGGCAGAGATGAGCTGAAGGGTGACAGGTGAGGAGGCTCATAGCTGACGAACGGGTTCGGAAGACCTCCTGACTGCACGATCCCTGCTCCATGTGCAGCTGACTCAGCACCTACCTGGGGCCTTGAGTTCAGCATCGATGAAGGTGAGCAGCTCCTGGCTGATGCTGCAGTAAGGCACGGGCCAGGTCAGGAATCGGTGGTAGGTTTCAGCTGCTTTCAGAAGGAGATCTGAGTCTGGTGGGAAGTGGGGGGTCTGGAGTGGAGAGGGAGTCACAAGCAGAGAAGTCTGGGTGAGAGAAAGTTCACTGCCATTCCACAACAGAACCTGCCACTTTTCTGGAATGTTCCACAAAGGGCACACATTTCCTGGCAGCAGTATGTCCAAGGACAAGGTCAGGAAGAATGGGGAGTCACCCACGGGGAATGCATGACACACGGGCGAGACGGTGCCAAGGGACATCTCTATGGAAGGGCCGTGTGCTCACTAAGCGTACCCTGGTCCACAAGGGCAGCTCTCTGAAAAGTGGGGGATCATCTGAAACAACACTGTTGCTGTCTCTCGATTTGGGGAGTGGTCTTCAATGCCCAGACCACATTTACCCTTACTAGAGGGAAATGTTTATTCTTTGAAGTGAACTGACTCAATGTACATGGGCTCATTTGATGCCGCGGGTCTGGAGAACACAGTCGTGACATTGGGGAAAACCGACCAATGGGGCACAAAACAAGGTGGACATAAAATCTCCTTAACAGGACCTCTCACGGCTTGTGAATGGGCTGTGGCAGCAGCTCCTCCGTGGGTGCCCAGGCATGCCAGGCACAATGGCCTCCACGTGGAGTTACTGGGACCTCTCAAGATGGCCAGTCTGAAGCCATCAGAAGGTGGACAGGCATCTCAAGTGTCACCACTGGAAAGTTTCCCTCTCAGTGTCTCCTCAGACAGGCTGTGCCTGCCCTAGGTAAGTTGTTCTGCTGTCCCCTCTCCGACTGCCCCAGCTGGACCAGCCTGGAACTTACGCAGAGGACAGTGGAGTAGAAGAGCAGGGCCAGCGGGGGCAGCAGGTCATAGGTCCCCTTCTCTTGGACCTGCGGAGAGGACAAGAGAGGAGGGTGAGGCTCCTTCACAGGGTGCAGAACAGAACAGCACTTTCTTGTTCTGTTCTCTTCTAAGTGAAAAGCAATGGAACCACAAGACAAAAATCTGGAAAATAGAAGTTAGAAAAAAACCCCACTCACAATGCCCCACTCTTCCAAACTCAACCACAGCTAACGTTTCGACACACTTCTCCTCACACCATCTCTCGGTGTTTTTCCTCTGCAGAGCTGTAACCATGCTGTGTGTGTTTTTTCTCTTAATGTCTTTTACATGCAATGTTATAAAAGAATTTCTGTTCTGTTACTTGGTCCCTAAGACCACGTTTTGCTCCCTTCCTGGTTGCACATTTACCCATTATTTATATTATAAATATGTTTTCCAGTCTGCTGTTTGCCTTTTAAAGTTACGGATTTGTTGGATGTCTGTAAATTAGAGGTGCTATTTTTTCCCCTTATGGATTTCTGCTTTGTTGTGCAAGGATCATGTGAATACTCTTATTACATATTTTCTTCTTTTCTTTGAAGCTTTATTTTCTTAAGTTTAAGTCTTTTTTTTTTTAAAGATTTTATTTATTTATTTTTAGAGAGGGAAGGGAGGGAGTGAGAGAGAGAGAGAGAGAGAAACATCAATGTGCGGTTGCTGGGGGTTATGGCCTGCAACCCAGGCATGTACCCTGGCTGGGAATCGAACCTGGGACACTTTGGTTCCCAGCCCGCGCTCCATCCACTGAGCTACGCCAGCCAGGAGTTTAAGTCTTTAATACACCTCTAATTCCATCTGCTATATGGCATGAATTAGGATTCTCACTCTGTATTTTTCCAAATGTTTAATCAATTTCCCCTAAACCATTTAATAAATATTATTGATGTAATTTTATTACATGCTAAATTGTGTTAATACCCTTGGATAATGTCTATTATTTTTATTAGCTGAATAATATTCCTTCTGGTAGACTTCCATAATTTACTAGTTTTATTTTAGATATTTGAGATTATTCCTTGCTATTTACTGCAATTACTTTTGCAATGAAAACCTTTGAGAAAATTTCTTTTTCTATGATTTGTATGATTTACCTAGGAGAGAGCTCAAGAAGTGGAATCAATCAATCAAGATTATAAACATTTTTATGATCTTTGAAACATATTGCCCAAGTGCCTTCCATAGGATTTCATTTATAATATCTTCCATGTAAGAAAGTTTCAGTTTTATTACATTCTTCTCGGCATTGCTCATAAGTTTTTGCTAATTTGCTAGGCAAAGTCTGTCTCAATATGGTTTAAATTTGCATTTATTTTACTACCACTGGGGCAACATTTTTCCATATATGTTTACAAGCTCTAGTTATTCTTTTGCATATTGTCTCTTTGGTAGAGCTCACCCCCACCCTGTGTCCACACCTGTACACACGCAATTAGAATTCTTGGGTCTCCCAGCCCAGCCCAGGACTCATGGGGCTGGAGACCCAGGGAAAGCCCTCCATCTCTGCTGTGCCTGCTGACCTCAGCGGGCTCACACTTAAAGTTCTCCTTTTCTTTATCGCAAGTAGACATTGCGTCTGCTCCACTCTCTCTCCGGTGGTGGTTCAGCTCTCCCAAAGGCACTGGGTCAAGGGTGGCACCAGAACTGGGATCTCAGGTGTCTTGATAAACCAATGCTTTCTTCTTAGAGGCAAAGGGTCAGCTAACTGAGGAAGTCAACTATTTTCCAGCTCAGTTCTAAGAGGCCAGAATCCTCCTTAGGGACTCACAGCTGTTCTGGAAGCCCAGCCCCACTCAGCATTAAGCACACTCTTCCTCTCAGATGTAAAAGCCTGTTTACTGAACTGTTACAGGAGGTCTCTGTTTACCTCTCCAATCAGTTTTCTCTGTTGTGTCTTTGTTTTTACGGATCTTTTTGAGGAAAGAAATTCAGTAAGTCTTACTCCATCCTTTCTGGTCAATACCTTGACTTACAAACATGTCTGTCTTAAAAAGCAGCTTCCAAAGGAGTTCCCATCAGACTGTCAGCTGATTTCTCAAAAGAGACCTTACAGGCAAGAAGGGGCTGGAAAGAAGTATTCCAAGTCATGAAAGGCAAGGACCTATAATCCAAGATTGCTCTATCCAGCAAAGTTTTCATTTAGAATGGAAGGGCAGATAAAGTGCTTCCCAGATGAGGTCAAGTTAAAGGAGTTCATCATCACCAAGCCCTTATTTTATGTCATGTTAAAGGGACTTATCTAGGAAAAAGAAGATAAAGAAAAAACATGTATAGTAAAAGGACAGCAAACTCACAATTATTAACAACCACACCTAAAACTAAACCAAAAGAAAGTAAGCAAACAACTAGAACAGGAACAGAACACAGAAATGGAGATCACATGGAGGGTTAGCAACAGGAGAGTGGGAGGAGGAGAGAGGGGGAAAAGGTACAGAGAATAAGTAGCATAGATGGTAGGTAGAAAATAGACAGGGGGAGGGCAAGAATAGAATGAGAAATGTAGAAACTAAAGAACTTATAAGTATGACACATGGACATGAACTAAAGGGGGGGAATGTGGGTGGGAGAGGGCGTACAGGGTGGAGGGGAGTGAAGGGGGGAAATGGAACAACTGTAATAGCATAATCAATAAAATATATCTTTAAAAATCAGCTTCCAGGACCCTGGCTAATGTACCACGTGTTCTCAACAAGAGAGCCATATCCCCTCCCAGAAACCTGAAATCCACATGCACAGCTGAGACAGAGAGCTCGCAGGGCCCCAGCACCTGTGCCCAGCCCCAGACACCCCAGAACTGGCACTCTGTGAGGACTTCTGTCTTGCCACTGTGAGGCCAGTCCCAGCTCTGCCCTCACCTCTCGGGTTTTCTTCAGGATCTGTTCCAGGAGGATGAGGAAGTGACCTGGGTCCCTGCTGACCAGCTCCTGTAGGCTCCAGCAGTTCAGACACAGCCCGGCTGGAAAGGGAGATGCCAGTGGTCAGTCTGGGGGTGGGGAGTGCTGGGGGCCTCTGGGGCTGCACTGGAGCATTCCTTTGTGAAGGAAGAGTCTCAGAAAATTCTGGGTCAACACTCAATCCTATCATGACCCATTAACATGCAATGACAAGTTTCTTATTCCTGGAAGCTCAAGAGACACCAAGAGGGGCTGGGATACCTTTCAAAGGCCAATGAACTGCCATGATTCTGGTCCCCGTGTCTCCGGAGGGCACCCTGCCCTGGGTTCCTACAGTAGGTGCCAGAACCTCCCAGATGCAGGCAAGAGGGCAGAGGCAGAGACTGCTGGGAGACCAAGGAGAGGAGCCAGGGTGACCTCACCCCCAGCCAACACAAAGCTGAGGCTGTGGTAGCTGCGGGACTTCCCAGGCCTACCCGGGACGGAGCCCAGGAAGGGGAAGCTACGTTCACTCACATTTAGAAAGCTACAATGAACATTTTGTCACTCTGACTTCCCCCGACTTTCCTATTCCGCCAGTGTCTTTTTCTCTGAAGTCAGCAAGGGCAAACCCCTAAAAATGAAAGGGGTGGACACAGAGACTTCTGAGTGTGTGTGAGTGTGTGTCCGTGTGTAGTGGGGAGTGACAGCAGTAGGGGCAGAAGTGGCCCGATCATGAGTTTTGTGGAGCCCCAGGGCCCCTCCTGCGCATGGGGGCCTCCCAAAGTCCAGGAGGTCACTCCCTGTGTGTCTCATGTGGTCACAGGTTTTTGCAAAATTGTAAAAGTCAGATACTTTGCATCAGTTTACCTAATGATGACCCTCTCAATTCTATAAGCTTAAGCTCCATCGAAATCTGCGTAGAAGGCAAGAAGAGAAATGCTACCACTTACTGACCACCTACAGTGTGCTCGGCCTTCACATATACCACCTCCACTGAGTCTCCCACCCTCCCTTCAGGAAGCTGGTTGCTGTCGTTATTCTCTTTCTACAGACAAGGCAGGTGAGGTCCTGAGGGGTTCAGTGATTCATGCAAGTTTACACAGCCAGTGAAACAGACTTTTAGTCCAGAGCTATTTAATGCCAAGGGCCAAGGAAAGCCTCTCAGAGGAGGTGACTTTTGAGCTGAGGCCTGGATGAGAAAGAGCCAGCTGTGCACGGTTCCAAGGGAAGAATTCCAGGCAGCAAGTGCAAAGGTCCTGGTATGTTCAAGGAGCAGTAGGTATCTCTCTCATGAGGTGGTCAGGGAGGCTAGTGAGATATGGGATAGGAAAAATCTTAACAAGCATAAGGAATTACTGCAACTAGTCACAACCTTCAAAGACAGAGCGCCCTAGCCTTCAGTCACCCCCTTTCCTCAGTCCTGGGCAAGCATGGACCAGGGAGGCCCCTGCCATCCACAGCTTTGCTGAGATTGTCCCTTGCTCTGTGGGGAATAGGACGAGGGGTCTGTGAAAGGAACTAGAAGCCAAGTAAACAGAATTCTAGGGAGAGCTGTCTGTGAATTCATAGCTGCTCTTTTGGAATCAGCCACTGTGGTATTTCTAGCATATGCTAAGGACGTGAGATACAGCCCCAAGAAGGACGAGGAAGACAGCACAGGAGAAAGAAGCTGCTGCCTACTGAGGGCCTGCTCTCTACCAGCTGCTGAGCCAGGCACCTGCCCAGGTGAGGTCCAGTTAAGGACTTCAGGTCCTGTGCTCAAGTCACAGAGTTGGAACCAGGATCTGCCAGTTTCCAAGGCTTGTCCAGTGCTCCTTGTGGCCCTTGAGGCTTCCTTGGGCTTTAAGAGCACTGCACTGTTGTCTCAGACCTACCTGACCAAGAGGTGGAGCGGCGGTTGAGGCTGAGTCCATGCAAGCAGCGCTCCAGGGCATGCTGGATGCGGTCCTCTGTGCACGTCGTAGCCCCTGGCTGCATCCTGAGTCATCGCCTGCACGGGAGACAGACTTTGGTCAGCCCAGAGGCCCCCAAGTGTGAAGAGCACATGGCCCAGAGGGCAGATGGCACAGACAATGGGCACCCACAGCCCAGTGCTCTTGGCTTTGCTATTGCTTGGGTGCTGTGAGCACACAATGAGGGGGCTTACTGCTGCCTCCAGCACTGGAATGGCTCCTGGAGGTGCTGCTCTGGGTGGCAGAAAGGGTGCTCCTGCAGCCCAATAGCATGTCGCTACAGGAAGCAAGGAGTCAGGGATAGGAGTGCAGGGGTGCCTGACCCTGGCAATGGTGAGTGTCTCCAACAGCCTGGGAAGTGCCCAGGATGTGGCCCAACCCCCCAGTAGGCCAGGCGGAAGGACCTCAAGGGAAAACTCAGAATCGCTCCAGGGGCTTCTCCTGAATTTCCAGGTCTGCACCGCCAGCCCCCAAAGATGGGCAGGAAGCCCGATCCGCAGAGAAGAGCACAGAGACCCCTCCTCAGCACAGGGTGCTCTGATGCCAAGGCCTGGTGGGGGCTGTCCCACACACCTCACCCCCACTCCTGCCCTGCCACACCCTCTGCTTGGGCGCCTGGGCCACAGACCCCTGCTCCTTTTCTGCCCTACCCTCCACTCTGGCCATTTTCTTTGCTTTCTCTGAGGCTTGGCAGTGTTACCAGTTACCCAATGACCCCTTGTGGCTCCCCTCCCTGTCCTGCTTCAGACAGGCCAGGGGTGCTTAGACAGGCCCTCAGACAGGCTGGAGGGCTACTGAGGAGGGGACTTACGAAGGGGTTTTAGCACCAGATGGGGAACTGGGGGAAATGCCAAATTCGGAGAGCTTTTTGGTTATGCCCCTTGGGAAGCATAGCATGGCAGGTGGCTCAGACAGTGAATGAGCCTGGCCTCTGGGCCTGCAGACTAGGACTCACATCTTGACCCTGCTATTTGCTACCCATGCAACTTGGGACAATTTTCTTTAACTTTTCCAAACCTCCAGTTTACCTATCTGTAAAACAGGAGAATGAAGGTATTGTCACAGGGGTAGATAGTGCTGGGCAAGCTTCTGAGACACAGAAGCTAGCATGGTACAGTCTTGGCCACAACCACTCTTTCCCTTGGGAATTTCGCCACATTCACCCTTCCAGGCAGACGCCATGGCAGGCTAATCAGGCCGGGTCAGAGAGGGAAGCTCTGTGCTACTGGGGACAGACCAGGAAACCACAAGCAGAAACATCAAGCTCAGAGCCAAGCCATGCAAACAACATGCAAAGAGCCATGGAATCCGAGCCTGGACTCAGCAGTGGGCCAGGCATCCAGCTCATGGAGACCCCAGGAGTCAAGTCCTCCTGCCCCCCCCAGCCTGGGAGGAACCACGTGTCCAGGGAAATGGCCCTTTGTGAACTTCCCAGCATCACGTCACTTCAGTGACATTCCTGGGCAGGTGCAAGGGTCTGCATGCATGCATTCTTTCATATATTTAATGACCACCTACTATGCGTCAGGCAGTAGGGACACAGCATTGAAGGAAGCAGGCCAGCTCCTGTGTAGGAGACAGAGACACTGGAGAATGATTAACAGACCAGAAAGGAGGCCATCACAGGGGGTCACGTGGTGAAGACCTGCTGGTGGGGCCAAACGGGGAGCCCACTCTAGGTTTTGGAGGTTAGGAAAGCCTCTCAGAAGAGACATTTAAGATGAATGAGGCAGTCGGGAGAAAAGGGTGGGGGAGGAAGGGAATGTTCCAGAAAAAGAAGACAGCATGTGGAAAGGTCTGGGCACAGGAACCAGCCAGGCAAGGACTGAGACCTTGGAGCACAGGCCAGCCCTCCCGGCCCCACACCTTCCAGCTACTCAGGTGGCAGACTGAGTAAAAAAAAAATCTCTCACTGGTTAGTCAGGACCATGCACCTTGGGTGTTTCCATCAGTGGCACCTCAATGTCTGAAGATGTCCTGGGGCCCTTCCAGGGCACCTTTCACGGCCGTCTCTGGCCCTTGTGTCGTCCGGCTGCTCCCGGGAAGTCCAGGCAGTGAGTCTGAGCACCCGGGCCAGGAGGGCAGGTTTCAGGTTTTCAGGGCCCTCCTCCATGCAGACTGTGCTGGTAGAGGTGTGTCCCTGGGAATGGCTGCTCCTGATGGGGCTCACCTTCTGCCCCCTGCAGTGGCAGCCCAAATACAAGACCCTCTCAAGCCTGGTCCTACCCGGCTGAGGACTAACGGAGCTGCTGGAGGAGCTGGGACACCAGGCTCCTCAGAAGGGTGAGTGTGGGACGTGAAGGGCTAACTGGCACAGACGCCCTCCACAGGTCTTTATCTCCACAGCCCTTCTTCCCTTCAGCCTCAGGGCAGGTTTTTAGAGGGAGTTTGGAGGTCAGCCCCTTCAAGTTTCTCATTTTACAGGTGGGGAGGAAGAGACCCAGAAAGGAAGAGGGGCTGCCTGGGGATGGGGCCAATCTGGGGGGACCAACACAGGTATCTCCAGACAAGGGTATTGAGTAGGACTTCTGTATTCCCAAACCGTGGTCAAGGCCCAACTCTGAGGACAAACAGTGCCTGATGACCCGTATGCTGAAGCTCTAGAGTCACAGTGCATGTCAGGGACGGGGGCCAGCAACCACACTGGGGGACTAGTCGGGCAGCGTCAGTCCAGAGCCAGCATGGCTGCCTGCCCGCCCACCCCCACACCTGTCAGTACAAGAACACTGGGGAGAGAGGAAGGCTGTCAGCCAGGGCAGAGGGGCCTTAAGAAAATCCGGTATTCTCACTCCCAGGTGGCAGTGCTGCCATTCCGCTCTCAGTTCACTCCCCTCGTGGGGAGCAGCTAGCAAGTCCATTGTTGGCCAAGGCAAAGATGTGAGCTCCGTGTGCATATGTAGAGGTGGGGGGGGGGGTGAGATACTAGAAACAGAAGCTGAACTTGAGTTGCTTTGTTGATACTTCACCCTGGGGGGTCTCCAGCAAGGTAAGGGGAGCTTAGCAGTAGAGGCCTGAAGGCTGGACCACCTTAGGAGGTGGGGACAGGATGAAGAGCTGTGGCAAATCTGTGGCACAGAAACATTAAACCACGGACCTAAGGTTATACAGTTAGGAGGAGGCAAAGCCAGGAGAAACCCAGGAGGTCTGGCTCTTGACCACTCTCCCTCCATCAAATGCAGTTACTGGAAGAAAAATAAAACCCATCCATGCTTCTACCTCACAAGTGAAGACTCAGTTAACTATGACATGATCTTTCTTTAAGTGACCCATACTCCCAGTGGCTGGGAATCCTGAGGCCACCATGTCTATCTATACCACTGCCACCCTCCAAACAGAAGACTAGGGCTCATAGCAGCAGCATTCCTGGCTGACCTGGGCGATGATCATGGTGGCCCACAGGGCCTCAGACTAGAGACACTGGAGACCTCTGGGCCTTTCCAGGGGAACTGGGTTTAAGGCCACCCTCTGTCCAGCACTTCTGCAGTGGCTAAGTCCATTGTGTCATGAGGTAGAAATGAGTCACCCTGCTCTGTTGTGTCACTATAACTGATACCAACACAAGACACAAATGAACAGTCTCAGCCAACGCCCCTTCTACCTCACCACCATCCTCAGGGGCCAGCACACAGCGTTCTGCAAGAGGTGAAAGGCCGCTCTTGCATCCCTGCAATGCCTGCTGGCTCACGCTTCGCTCCTTCTCCAGATGCCTGGGACCTTCCCATCTCCTGGACTCAGTGTCCCCGGCCATTCACGAGAGGGCGCCAAGGCCGTCTCCATGGACAGGCACTGGCAGAGCTCCTGGCATGCCAGCCTCCCTGGTGTGGGAGGCCAGCTAGAGCTTGCTCCCAGCTCCTGTCAGAGGCAGGACCTGCCCAAGGCGCAGGGGGCGGAGCGGGGATGTCTGGTAGAGCTGCCCTGGGGGTTAACCCAGCTCACTGCCTGGTCCTCTGGCACTCTCATTTCCGTCTGATGAGTCAGGCATCAGCCGTTTCTTGTGACTTGTCAGCAGAACCCCAGTGGCTTTGGGGCGGAGATGAAGAGGGAAGAAAGTGGCATCACTTTCTCCTGAGGGATGATGCCTTTTTCAAAGGATTAGCAAGCAAGGCCTGGTTTCCCCTGGCACTCCATTCCCATCCCCCCTCTCCACCCTGATAAAAGGAGCTCCTGTTGTGAAATTCCAGTGGCTGCAGGAATGGGAATGCCCCCACATCTGCGGTGGGGTAGTGTTGAAACACCCAGCAACAGTGCTGGCCCCAGCCTCCAAGTTCCTCTTCTGATCCAGTAAGGATGAGTCTTTACTGGGGACTCTGAGCAGGACAGGGCCATGCAAACCAGGGGTTGTCTTCCCTAAAGTGCAGGACCAGTCAGAGGGCCAGCGTGCACCTGGGCCCAGCTTCCTGAAGCAGCCTGCACGGCAGGGAAGAGGGCCCCTTTCTTTGGGGAACATCTCAAACAGTGGGGGGCCCCCAACTCTTAGGGAGGGAAGCATGGTCCTCCGGGCTCTGGCAGGCACCCCGTGCTGCTCCCCTGCAGTTCTGAACAGGCCCATGCTCAGAAGCCGTCGTCCCACACAGGTGGGAATAGGACAGAGACACCAAGGCCTGTCTGACCCCACCTGCTTCAGTCCCGGGTCGCTCCTCCCTCTCCCCCTTCCTTCTGGCCCCTGGGGCTTGACCTCCCTTTCTGCCCTCACTCCTGCCCTCATAACTGCTGAAGGCAGAATCTCTTGTGAGACCTAATTTTAAAAATTCTCACTTCCAATACCGGAAGTATATGCCAGAATCTAAAGACTGGGGTGAGAAAGGGGTGGAAAGGAGAAGGCAGAGAGCTGGGAGTGGGTGAGGTGGAGCAATACCTCCCCAGGGAGACCTTTCTGTGCTGTTTGGACTTTCAGGACCACAGCAGTACTCTACACACCCCAAGTTAAATAAGTAATGCAAATGAAACAGGACCTGGGGGAGGCAAACAATGGAACACAACAATAACAAATTCACCTGCCTGCATTATAAATAACATGACCACACTGAAAGGGATGCGG